ATAACCCATCTGGTCAGCGTCCAGAGGGGTTGAGGCCTTTTCCTGATTTTACAGTTGGTCACATGACTGGGCCCAGTCTGGCAGCACCGACTGGGTCCCGGGAGTCACGTGGGCTGACATGGCCCAATGGAATTCTGCTGTAGGATTTGGGGGCAGAAAAGTCTATTGACAGGCGAACCAGTACAAGACAGAGGGCAAATGGGCCGAGCTACAGGGACAGGAGTCCCCAAACATAGCTTGGGGATGCTTCAGGAAACACTCACCAGGTATGTAGAAAATGCATTGTGAATGAAGGGCTTCTAGAACCCCAGGTAGGACCCCTGGTGGCTTCGTGGTTACTTGATGGGCAGCTAACTCTAAGTTCAGCAGTTTGAAACCACTAGCTGCTCCGGGAAGAAAGATAGGGCTTTCTACTCCTGTAAAGGGTTGGAAATGGTCTTGGAAACTCCCGGGGCAGTTCGACCTTGGAGGCAGCTTTGACTCTAAGGCAGTGAGTTTGGGTTTTATTTTTAGAGCCCCAGGGCATTGCACTGAACAAGTGTGTGGTCTAAGACTTCTTCAGAGTGTTGAAAAGCAGCAAAGTTACTTTAAAGACTAAGGTGTGCCTGGCCCAAGCCATAGTATTTTCAACGGCCTCATTTGCATGTGAAAGTTGGACACTGAATAAGGAATACCGAGGAAATAGTTGAATTGTGGTGCTGGGGAAGAATATCTATTTAAAGTGCCGTGGACTGCCAAAAGGACAAACCGATCTGTCTTGGAAGAAGTACAGCCAGAGTGCTCCTTAGAGGCAAAGACGGCAAGACTTCATCTTCCGTACTCTGGACATGTTGTCAGGAGAGGCCAGTCCCTGGAGAAGGGCATCATGCTTGGTAAAGTGGAGGGGCGGTGACAAAGAAATAGGCCCTCAGCGAGATGGATGGACACGCGGCTGCGACAACAGGCTCAAGCGCAGGCACCATTGTGAGGGGGGCGCAGGCCCGGGCAGTGATTTGCTCTCCTGTGAATAGGGTAGCCCCAGATCCAAATGAGCTCAATGGCATCTCTAACAACAGTGACATCAACAACACGATGCTAGGCATTATGTCACCAGGATCTCCCATACCAGCAGCGTCACCCATGGCGGCCGGGTCCGCAGAGCTGTCAGACTAAGACAGCATGGCAAAGACCATGTGATCTACTTCAGGCAAGATGAGCTGGTGAAGACCTCTGGCTGGCAGCAGAGACCTTCAGGTTGGAAGGCACTAAAGACACAACTGGGGGAAGAGCTGCCTCTTCAAAGTAGAGTCAACCTTAATGACGTGGATGGGGCGAAGCGTCCGGGACATTCGTCTGCAGATAGGGCAGACTCAGAGTGAAGAGAAACAGCTGTAAATATCGATTAACATTCCGAACGTGGCATGGATGAAGTGTGAATCAAGGAATATTGGAAGTGGTGAGAAATGAGATGGAATGCATAACGATGGCTGTCCTAGGCATCTGGTGGGCTGAAACGGACTGGTACTGGCCGTTTAGATTCAGACAATCATAGCATCTACTATCGGGGATGACAGATTGACGAGGAATGTTGTCACATTCATTGTCCCAAAAAAGAACATTTCAAGACCTACCCTGAATGACAATACTATCAGTGATCAGACAACAAAGCCACACACCTACAAGGAAGAATGATTAATATCACTATTAACCAAATAGACACACCACCCGCCGATGCTAAGGGTGATTTTTACCAGCTTCAGCAGTCTAACCGATCAAACCTGTGACCAAGGTACGCTGGTCATTCCTGGTGATTGGAATCCAAACGTTGTTAACAAAGAAGAGTCAGTAGTGAGCAAATACAGTTTGATGCTAGGAATGATGTCAGAGATGCTTGATAGGCTTTTGCAAGACCCCTGACTTGCTCAGTGCAAACACCTGGTTTCAACCACTACAATCATGGGGACTCTACATGTGGGCCTCTCCAGGGGGGACACAAAGGCTGATCCAGTTCACTGCATCGGGGAGAAGAGCTCCACCGCAGCCGTCC